TCATTTTGTTGGATAGGGCCCATTGTTCGAGTTTGTCAAGATCTTTTTGGATCCTGAGTTTGTCTTCTGGGGTGTTGGCGGCTACTGACAGTTTGGTGTCATCTGCAAATTTTATGAGTTCCCCTTCAATTCTCTCATCTATGATATTGAAAATTACTGGGCCCAAGACGGAACCTTGTGGTACCCCACTGCTAACTTCTCTCCATGTGGATATAGTGCCGTTGAGGACTACTCGTTGAGTAACATTTGTCAGCCAGCTACAGATCCATCTGGTGGTGATGTTGTCTATTCTACCTTTTTCTAGCTTACCAATTAGTAGGTTGTGGTCTACTTTTACACTGTTTTCTTTCTTTCTTTATACCCCTCCATATTATTCTTTGGGACACGCTGCTCTTAACATCCACTCAGAGCATAGTTGAGAATGAAACAGTTGTAAGGGCTGCTGAAGGAGAACGCCCCAGAAAGTATTCACCAGCCACTTTTGCTTTTTAGAAAAACTTTCACCTCTTGCTCCTCTGACTATGCTTTTGGCTTGACATACTGAGGAAGAAATGGAGGCAGAGAATAAACACAATATGTCAGTTCCTGTCTAGAATATTAAAAGGCAGGAGTTATGAAAGGGAAATTTGGTAAATAAGCTTTGAAAAACTGTATGAGGAGAGAGAGAGAAACACACACACATACATATATATACTTAACAAATCTTCTTCCTAGTGTTATTCCCGTGCTATGGCAGGGTCCGCATATACACACTTAATAAATATATCAGGGGAGAAGATATGCCCAAACTATTGAGATTGACAACAGAAGAATGAGGCTATATGGTAATAATTCTCATGAATGAAGGTAAATATACGTGTCTCAGGATAATGTTGCAGAATCCAATCTGAGTTGATCAACAGGACCAAAGATTTATTTTTCCAAGCTTTAGGGCTTGTGCTGGAGGCCATCATCAGGGAACTTCTCTCTTTCCAAAATACATGCACTGGGCTGGTCTGAGCATTGCATTTATATGGTTCTTGGTTGTGTATAACTTTGAGTTGTTAATTAGGGTGTTAATGGCCAGCTATTAAGTCATTAATTGTTGTTTCCTTGTACCACCATGCCCTCGACTCCTACCGTAAGTATCTGATAGGCTGGGAGCAAATCAGCACTCCTATTGATTGACAAGGGACCCGTTAACCAGGCTTCAATCATTTTTCTGGCTATTTCTCTGGTAGTAATTCTCCCTTGCATTTCCCCCTAAAATGGATTGGTTATCGGAGGTATGGACTTTGAGTTCCTGTCCTCTAGCCAAACTGGTTTGGATTCTTGGCCTCTAGCATGACTGATAGCTTAATAGTCCTAATTTTCATTCTGGCTATCTTTATTTGGTTTTGTTTTTCCTTCTGGGTTTCCAATGATGCCCACCAGTAGAAATAGAACTATTTGGACAACCATGTTTATTTCTTACATAAAAAAATTATCAAGCCTTAAGAGTGAGCAGGCTTTTTAATGTTATTTGAACCTTCACTACAATCTGTTTGCTTATAACTGTATTTAACATCTTTTGTAACACTCTGCTTTGCAATACTTGGAACCCTGCCCTATATATAATCTACCATTATCCAGCAGTAAATGAATTATATTGGACAGAAACAAATTCTCCATAAACATTATTTTTCCACAATTTTTAATTTTGTCATTTTGGTGAAAGAAAAATTGGGTAACTGTTGGTTAAATAAGCTACTAGCACTTTCTACAAGGTAGCAACAAGATATCTAGAATACTCATTTTATGTTTCCTTTTAATAGCAAAACCCCACTATTTATTTAATTCCAATCTTGGCTAAGACTTTAATCAGGAGTGGGTAACCCACGATCTGCAGAAGCTATTAGTACAATATATTATGGATCCTTGCTCCATCTTTGTGGTACCTAGCAGCCCACAAACTGATTACCAACCTTTACTGGGATGAAGAAAGAAGAAACTACCTCCAAACCTAAATATTTGTAAATTCACAGCAATAAATAACAATGATTGCAACATCCCAAAGATAAGAAATTGTTCCATATTTATTTATGGAAGGATTTGTTGTCCTGTATACATAATTTTATCAGGAGTGTTATAATTGGAGGGAGTATTTAATGTGCCCTCAGTCTAGCCCTCTCATTACTAGAGGCAACCCTCTTATATAGCTTTGCACACATATGAGAGTAAATTCATGGAAGAACTAATTTGTGACTTCTGCTTCCTTTTCCCCCTCTTTTATTAAGTACTGTAAAAGACAGAATTTTGACATTTGATAAGATGACTGAACAAGTACACAGGGCCTAACATTCAACTGTGGCTGCTTCAATGATTCTATCTAAAATTTATATTAAAGAATAACTAGCCTCTGATGCAAAATGCGGTGCCGGATTTAGTACTGAATATGTTAAAATGGTATGCAGCTTGGTTATTATTATTCGCTAAAAAAGAGAGCCCTCTGCTGGACAAATATTGTAATACCAATTAGCTTCAAGTTGAATAAAGGGGTTGGAATTATGTAATGTCAAATACATTAGATCCTAAGCAGAAATAATGACTTATGATTCATGTTGATACTGAGTTTTGTCTTTAATATTTCTCTATCATAAAATATGTCATGTTTTCATTTAATTACCATATCTTCTCTTCACTGCTCAGCTATTTATTCATTCATTTCCAACCTTTATTATTTTTACAAATAACTCAAGACAGAAAACATGTCCAACACACCTTCCTCCTGCTTTCCCGACAACAAGAGAGTGAGTGATTGGCCCAAAATCACTCAGCTGGCTTTCATGGCTAAGGCAGGACTGGAATTCACAGTTTCCTGCTTTCTTGCCTGGTGCCTGACCACTAATTTGATACAGAACAAGCATCAATTTACATCCATGTATTTCCAATTTGGAAATTTGGCAGTTTTGCAGCCTTATATAGTTCCTGATAGGGTATCCTAGGTGTACTTACACAAAGTAAATCCGACTGTATTCCAAAGAGCTTATTCTAGTTATGCATATCTAGATTCTAGATATGCATAACTTAATCTTTGGGGAATTTTTTTTCTCCTTTTTGCCAAAGATTTCATAAAAAAATATATTATAAATTTTAAAATAAAACTTATTTGTATGCTTTTCTTAATTTACTGTGTACTAAATAGATTTCTCACCTAAGTTTTATGCTCATATTCAGTAGTTAGTTAAAAATTCAAGAATAGTTAAACTGTATTGGCTACATTACAAGAAAAAAGAATTTGGCCTCCAGAGATCAGAAGCAGGCCAAAAAAGTATTCACCATTTTGATGGAACTCCTTTATTTGGGTTTACCTATATACTGTATTCCCTGATTTCTAATTTTCCTATATTGAAGGATATCTAACCGGTCTAGTACGTTTGAGAAAACACCTTTGTCTGTAAACTAAGGACAATACTAAATTATATAAACCAATAATCTGACTTGTTTTTAAATAGGTTACTATCCACAACAGAATAAGAACACTTTGCAGAGAAGAAAAGTATAACTTAAAGAATACATCACAAAGCAGAAGTTAAGGTCTCACTAAACACTACCCGATTTGAGAAAAACTATTAGCATTATGGCAGCATATGATATAATCCCTATCAGGACTATATGCTGCATATGAAATTTTATTACCACCTACATTCTTAGCATTATTAAAAACAAGCTGCCCAATTAATCAAGATTTTTTTATTAGTTAATTAAACAAATTGTTTTTAACTTCATATATACCATTAACATAATCCATATGATTTCTCTAGAAATTATAGGCCACTATTAGAATCTGTAACACAAATATCATTCTAGATAGAGATAAAATTTATTTACAACTTGTAATTATCAAAATACCACTGTTCTCTAAAATCGATCAAACGCCAATTCTGCTTTTAAGAAAATCATTCTGCAAACAAGTAAATGAGTTAAAGGAACATTTATGTTTGACACTCAAAAAAAATCAAATAAACCTTTATGCCATGAAATGTGGCATCTTTCACTAAACAGAGTTCATTCAGTATGTTTTCTAAGCCTTGCATTTGTGTTAAAAGGAATCTATTATACCATATATAAATGTTTTTGCTGAAATAGGCTGCACATGTCTGACCAATGGCTTTAAGGAAATCAGTAACAAAAATGTAAAAATGATGAAACCAATGGTAAAATACTGCAGTGTGCAATCATTTGAAGCACCCCATCATATATTTGCTCTTCCTCTCCTCTGGGTATGTACCTCTCCCTGGTTATATAGCAGTTTTTCCCTTAAGTATTGTTGAACGTCTATAAACCCTTCTATATCTATGAAAGGTTCGCCAAATATGCTGATGTCCCCAGTGTATGTGGAGCTATCAGAGTTGCATAAGGATTGGTATTCAGAGGACTCAGAATATCAGTTGTGAACCCTAACTTAAGCAAGTTCTTTGCCACTGATGGCACTGGAAGAACTTTATAGCTTTTGCATGACTATCTAGGAAGTTCAAGTCAAAGAAGTTGTATTTGAGTGATAAATCTAAACCAGACTAGCAGGAAATACACAATCTTTACATACCACGAGAAATGGCTTTACCACTGGACACAGTCCAACACATGCCACAAAATCAACTTGCGGGCAGTTTTTATTCTCCACATAGCTTATAGAGCGCTTACAGCTACAGCTTTGAACTATCTTGTGCCAAGATGCACTTGCTGCTAGTATTCTGATAAAAACAACTTTCAGCAAAGTCCTTGCTATTTCCCTTCTGCACACTATTGAACCTAACTGTTCAAAGAAGCAAAGAAATCTTTACTGTGTATCAAGTAAAAAAGTGATAGATAAAAGAACATCAAATATTAGCCCCCCCCAAAATCACATTGCAAAAATATATATTATTTTTGAAACGCATCCCCCATCTGACATAAACTTCCATCAAATGTAGCAGTTGTTGATTGAAAAAGAAAACAAAGACACTGACTTCAGAAAGTTTCCAAAACACATGTTTTCTTACCTGGTGCAGGTTGTCTCTCGTTCAATGCACCTGTAATTAACACTTCCAATATTTTTATATGTTGATCACTGTCAGAGCTATAAAAAAACAACAAGAAAAATGACCATGCATCACAGGAAAATAAAACAGAAGTTGGAAGGAAAAAAATTATAATTATCAAGACTCAGGAACATGCGTCTTACCTGGCTACTGAAGATCTGAACAGCAAAAGGCTAAAAATTTCAGCCAGAGATTTTGCATTTAAAAGATTTTTGGTAGAGACCTGGCAAAGTCTAGAGAGATGTTTAAGCAGATACTGGAGTGTGAGCCAATACTGTTGAGGTATGTTAGGAGATCTGATGAATTTTTTCAGTGCTTGAGCATATTCTTCTGATTTCTGTACTTCTGGAAAAAAAAATACCCTCGTCAACTTGAAATCACCAGCAGTTGTTCTAAACAGCCATGGAAAAGCATCAATTTTGCAAGAAGATATCCATCCCTTTAATAAAAACTAAAACACTTTTCCTTCCTTAAAACAATGAAAAATTAAGCAAGCGTGGATGGGAAAAAAATCAATTATATCGAAGTCAAATTGAAACTGAAATATAATTAGATGAAAACCACTAAATGTTCAGTTAATGCTAGTAGAAATCTCCCCTTCACTTCACGTGACTGGGTAATTTCTGAGATGTAGCAGATAAGTCTCAAGAACGCAATTCTAAAGTTGAAAGTTGTATCCTGTCCCTATAAGGAGCAACTGAATTTGAAAATTGAAAAGGTTAAATCCAGTTTGAATTCATAATGAAGAGACAAATCTTATCTTTAAGTCTTTATTACACTGCACCCCAAATTGCAAATGGACTTCAGAATCATGTTTAGCTAATACATTTACCTTATGCACACAGATAAAAGGTTAACAATTAGCTCTTTCTACACATCAATCCTTGATTGGTTAACCAGTGTTTGAACAAATATTATACTTGCCAGGTTACATGGAGTTCTTAACACTAAGGTCTATTTTGTACATTATGTTTTTAAAATGTACACATTCATTTTCAATCATGTGTATCCTACAGATATGCATGCCAGAGAACAAGATTAGATGCAGATAATCCCAATTTATGTATATCCTATAATGGAAGAAGCTATAATAATGTCCTTTTACATTATTATGTTGGAAAAAGAAACAAAACCCATCATCAGCATCCCACAACAGACCAAAATAATATTCCCACAATGATGTAATCATGTAGAAGTCAGGTCTGACACAATGACATGAGCTGTACCATTGCATCATGAGCATGCAATGTAAAAATAAGGCTCCTCAAACACCCAACTCTACCAAAAGAAACATTTATAAACATACCTTGTGTTACAGAAATCATTTCATTGTAAACAGATGCTGAAATGACAGGATTTGGCAAGTCGAGAAAGTACCTCTTCAATGCATCTGTTAAAATGTGAAGTTCAATTCCATCAAAATCCACTGAAGAAACCTCTAAAAAACACAGAGACATCAACATGTTATGCACTATACATTTTGCCAAGAGCTAAACTTCACTCAGGGAGGCCCACACTTAAATGAATGATGAGACCTGGGCATTTTACGGCCCATGTCTGGCAGGGGATGGGCTAGTGGCCCTCCATATCAATCCCAGTTTCTCAAGTGGCCCCTTGTGAACATTAATTGCCCATTCCTGATCTACAGCAACTTGCAGTTTTATTAAAATGTTGGGTATGACTTCATGACACAAGTTTATTTGTGATTCACACTCTTTTGCTCTCCCCACCCCCCAAAACAGTGTTGAACAATATCTGCATTTAACTCTCACAAGAATTATTTCTAGGAAGGGAATCCTGTGTAAATAATACTTTTTGCACCATTTTTCTTTACATCCCCACTCAGTAAATTCTGGAAAATACTTCTATAGGCAGTCTTCAACTTATACCACTCATTTAATGACCAACAGGAAGTTACAACTGCCTCAGAAAAAATGACTTACAATCTGTACTCCCACTTAATGCCCATCATACCATTCAGCAGTCACATGATTGAAATTCTGGTGCTTGATAACCAACTCGCATTTATGATCAGTTACAATGCTGTGCAGTAACATGATTGTGATTTTGCTGATTTTTAGCAAAAAAACGGCCATCGGGTTAGCTAGATTCACTTAACAAAAATTGTCATACAATAGGGTCCGACTTGACTTATGATTGCAACAACTTAGGATGGAAATTTTGGTTCCAATTGTGGTCGTTAAATTGAGGACTCCCTGTATAGTAGATGACAGTGGCTACTTTTGGGAATGCCTTGAATCTTTTCTACTGTTTACAGAGACATTTGTAATGATGATGTGTTTTTACTATGACCGAGTTCCTCTGTATACAGATGACAAGAGGCAAACTATAATTTATTGGTAAGAATAGTAATATTTTCAAAGATTCTATGATTGGGTCTTTTATGATCTACTTTTTAATTTATTGGAATGTCATTAATAACAAGCACCTCCCTTCCTTAGTCCATTTAATGAAGTTTCACTCTACCACTATTCCAAATACTATTTCTGCCACAGTATTTGATATATCCCACATAATGGAATTTAAATGTAATAAATGACATTGCTATCCGAAAGCAAATTACAGTGAAATTATTACCCAGTTTGATTTCTGAAAATAATTGTGCTTACCACACTCAAAAATTTGTCTTAATTCAACACTGCTGCTTGACCCTTGTGACCTATACAATGATGAACATTCCAGACCTTAAAAAAAAAAGAATATATTAAGTTTTATGATGCTGAAAATCTCCTGTAGCTTTTGGTTGTTTACATTTCCTCCAGGTTCTTGTATAATTATGTTCTCTATCTCTCCTGTGCAGACACAGTATATCTCTCTTGCAAACTCTTGATTGTGTAACATTATTAATCTAGTTTTATATCCAAAATTCTAACCTGAGAAAGGCCAAAACAAATATCAAAACTAAAAAACAACCACCAAACCAAACCTTTAAAGTTTATGAGTTCCTAAAAGGAATGCTGAGGATCTTAAGTTAGTACTTAAAAGTTCTAACCACTATAATAATACTCTAGTTCAGGTAGAAAGGAAAGGCAGGTATTTTATATTGTAATAGGTCGTGATTTAATTTAGGGTCTCCTGCAGCTTATTTTAACTTTTAAAGAACTATTTATAGCATCATAATAATGAAAGAGAAGGAGGAGGATCTGATCTCCTATGTCAGGGTTCCCCAACTCCTGCTCCGTGGTGGGTAAGCATACAAAGCTTCATTTGTGCATGGGAGCTAAGTTGAGCATGAAATTATCCCTTTTCCCCACACCTCCACTGCTGCTGTTGCCGGTCCGTGGAGCCAGAAGGGTTGGGGATGCCTGACCTAGGTAATGTAGGACCCTCAATTGCTGTGACACATAGGAAGGCCAATTTTAAGCCAATCATTCCTAGCGCCATATATCCTGACTAGTTACTAGAAAATGGAAGTAGTAAGAATGCTGCCTTGAGCTCCTGAATAAAGGATAAGGAATAAATGTAATACATAAAAAATAGATAGAACTGCAAGTATCCAATCAAATACAGTAAGGCAAAGGGAACTGAGCACTGCAGAAAGTATTTCTTATAGTAGGTTCTGAGGAGCTCAGATTTAAGACATCAAATCAAATTTTGCATTAGGCAGCATTCTCATTATTTGAAGTTATAAAGATTGTTCTTTCAGTGATAATTTTTTTTTCTGTCCCAATTAGCCTTCATTCATAATTTTATAACTACAGCAGTACCGGTAGTCCTCTTATCAACTGCTTTGTTTAGTGATCACTCAAAGTTATGTTGGTATAACTCCCCCCCCCCCAGATTTGCAACCAACCATCAAGTTTACAATGGTCACATCACTCCAGTGTCCCGTGGTTGCCATTCATGTGCTTCACAGCTGGGGTCTGATAAGCAAAGTTGATGGAGAACACAAATAAAATTGGTACTCACTGTCCCGTGATGTCTCATTTAATGACTGCAGCACTTAACAGCCAAATTGCTGGTCCTAATTTTGGTCACTAATGAGGACCAGCTGCACTATCTGCAGTAATATTTTGATTGATGCGTAACAGAATGCAACCTGAACATTAATTTGCATTGTTTCTATCTTTGGCTGGGTATTTGTTTGGAAAAGCTAGGAATCCCTGATCTCAGAAGCTGAAATGCCTAATTTTAGTTTATAAGAGTTGTTTTGAATATAAAACAGTTTCTTGTGGCAATATTTTGCCTTTTCTTTTTCAGAAACAACTGACTGCAAAAAAAATTATCTGTGCATTTGTTTCATATACCTTTTTGTATAATACACTTGGAGACTGAGAAAACCTAGGGCAAGTTGGGATGAATACCTTGTTCAATGTAAAGCAAAGCCAAGCAAGATTTCTTTAAGGTACAATTTTACTATGCTGATGTAACTAGCATTGTGTGTGTTGAAAGTAGCACAAGGACTATTTTCTTATCAAAGGAAGTATTTGAGGTTGCTGCTCTTTAACACTTGGCCCACGCAAGAGAACTTGTGGGCAGCAAGCACAATGCTAAGAAATCTCATCCAACTCCCTTACACTCTTTCTACCATCACCAATAGTGAATGTCTTTTTAACTTCAGTATCAATTGAAAAACTTAACAAAATAAGTTTTAAATCAAGGTAAGAATAAAGTGATAAAGTGAAATAATTTGGTAGAGAGGAAACAGTCTGATGGAGTGGTTAAGGCTAGAAACCAAGAGACTATGAATTCTAATCCTGCCTTAGGCAGGATTATATATATATATATAAATTAAGCAAAGTACACTGTCTTCAATTTTATGTCTGTTTCTTACCTGTTTTAGGAAAATATGTTAATAAACTCACTAACTGCATTTAATTCCACAGGTGTCATAGATTCCGGATTTTGGACCCATTCTGTAAGTTAGCACAGTTGAGGTACCATGATACAAAAATTGTTGCCCTATGATGCTTTGTTTCATCCAGTGAAAAGTTACACATAGATAGATGTGAATTTTAATAGCATACAGGTTACTATACCAATTTATTCAAATGTATATTCTACCCTATTCCTACCTTTTCTTTCAATAGCTTCCACTAATTTCACAAGAAGAGGTGGTGCATTTTCTGGAGGTGAAAACTGCTCACAAAGATCTGGAAGTGTAAAAACTGTAAAACAAACAAACAAAATTTAGCTATACTTGGCAGTTTATAAAAAAACTGAGATATAATGCACCTGGTTAAATTTAAAATACCGAACAAGTTTCCCTAACAACTGGTAAAAGTGCACGTGTTTTTTTCTTCTGTGCTTCATATATTGTACATGATAACTTTGTTTAAAATAAAATTTGATGCTGCAATATCCAAGTTCATATTTAAATCAAATTATAGACAAATCAGTAGTAGCATGAAGTGGGCATTCCCATGTCATAATTTTCCTCCTCCTCCTCCTTCTTCTTCTCCTTCTCCTTCTTCTTTTTTAAAAAAGGGTTTTCATGAGGTCCATTCACAATTATTATTATTTGGCTTGCAAATAACAACAACAACAACGATGGAAGGGCCCTTAGACCTAATCCAACCCCCTGCTCAGGGGGTTTATGTAGTAGTAATTTTCAGCATTCTTGCTATTATTTCTTGCCCATCTCCCTTGTCATTGGGAAGAAGCAAAAATATTGGGCACAACGAGGGATATCCTAGGTGCAAATTTTATAAAACTTTCCCATAATAAATAAGTAAATAAAAATTTATGCATCTGTCTTAAAATTTATCATCCAGGACCTATTGAGAGAACTATATATTTTCTTTCATTAGAGCAACAAACTAGCTAGTGATTTCTGTATGAACCATTAATGCAGTGAGGTTTTAAAGCTAGCATTTTTTGCAGCACCTATCTTTGTTTAGGAAAAACCATATATGGGAAGAAAGTTCTAATACTTTAATAGCCATTCAATAGACTTCTTGTCATCAAGGAATGCGTTTAGATAAATGGGAAACAAACATTTTGAAAGAAATAGAGAAGATAAATACTGTGCTTCAGTTTTTAAAAACTGACAAAATATATGTATCAATATGCTGAAGCAACCTACTCGCTTGGCTATTTAGAAGGGCAGAAGAAGGCCACTTGAAGATGCCCCCCTGCCAGCAACTTGAATTGTCTTACAAAAAGGTCTTTACCTGTATGGCTCATAGGCTGTGGAATGTGATTTTTAAGGAGAGATATGTTTGCACCTTCCCCCAGAGGTCCTTTATTTAGAAAGATGGCAAAAACACATGTCTCTCTGTGTGTATGTATATGTGTGTGTATGTGTGTGTGTGAAACTCCATAATATAATGTGAATATAGTATATATAAAACTCTCCTTTTCCTCCATCTCCATGCACACATATGCACATCTTCTATATTAAATATATATAATAAAGCATGCGTTGGAAGAAACTTTTTTCATCTTTTTGCATGCCATTAGCAAAACTAAATGATTCAGACTCAGAAATATTCTTGCAATCAACTTGGATGCTACAATAAAGAGAAAGCTGAGTTCTGAAATATGTCAAGTGCTATCCAATTTATATTTACTTGGATATAAATCCAATGCTCAGTGGGACATTGTGCACATACTATGATGACCTTAATGTGCTGGACAATTTAATTAAAAGTCTTCCTAATTTCTTGCAAAGGAATCATTCCAGAGAGCAAGATTTTAAAAATAATATATTAAGAAGGAAAGGAAATAGGCATCTTTTCTTCCAAGAAGATGCTTGTAATGTTCCTGGAAATGAATCTATGTTTTAGATGAAATATTATTATTTAAAATACAACTAATCTAGGACAACTAGGATTTTCTTACAATGAGAAAAATGCATTTATTTGCTTTTTGTTTTTTTCCTCATTTCATCCAGTTCAACATTTCAATAAATTTTATTAAAATTAATTGAAACTGGATGGAAATAAAAGGCAGTAAGCTCTCTGAGCTTGCTTATTTTCTTGCAGACGTTTCATTCCCAAACTAGGTAACATCATCAGTACTAGACTGAAATGAAAGGGATAGACGTCTTTGTCCCTGTGCACTGCAGTTCATTATATACTCTTTACTTTTCCATTTCCGAGAATTTGGTCAGTTAGATCAGTTTTGAGAAGGCAGGAACAAATTTATTTTACAGAAACTGTTTACAGTGAACAAATATCCCACTAGATTCTACTCATAGTAATTAAACATATAATTAAATCATGGTGAACAAATTATTATGTTACCAAAAAAGGACATTTTAACACACTTAATTTTTTGTAATGAACCTCTTCCAGCTGTAAAGCTTTTGAATAAACGCTCCTATCGCATTACAAGTAGTCCTCGACTTACAATCATTTGTTTGGTGACCATTCGAAGTTATAAAGGCACTGGAAAAAGTGGTTTATGACTGTTTTTCACACTTAACAACCAATGCAGCATCCTCATAGTCACTTGATCAAAAATTCAGGCACTTGGCAACTGGCATATATTTATGATGGTTGCACTGTCCCGGGGTCGTGTGGTCACCCTTTGTAACTTTCAGCTAGTTTCCAAAAAGTAAAATCAATGGGGGAAGTCAGATTTGTTTAATGACCGCATGATTCAATTAACAACTGCGGTGATTTGCTTAACAATTGTGGTAAAACAGGTCGTAAAAAGGGGCAAAGCTCACTTAACAACAGTTTTGCTTAGCAACAGAAATGTTGGGCTCAATTGTGATTGTAACTCAAGGGCTATTTGTATACTACAATTGGGACTTTCAACATTAACTTTCCACCATTGGTGGTGGTGGTGGTGAAATCAAATTTTTTGTGGTCATTCAGATTAAGAAAAAAAATCAGGAAACATTTGTGTTCCAAATTAAACATCCTATAATATTCTTATAACAAAATAACATTTTACATGATTTACAAAAAAAGCTACATTTAGTGCGGTATGGTAACAGATTGGAATAAAGCTTAGTAATCCACCTATCAATGTCAAAACAAGCTTTGAATATGGATGAGAAATAATAGAGTAGAGAATTATGTATGTATCAAAATATTATAATTAGAACTAAGCTAAACCAAGAAGTACAGGTTGCTTAATGACTGAAGTAATGAGACTTCCCTGGGGGTACTTAAGACCAGATTCTGAAGTTCCAATGGCTGCCCCCCCAGGAAGTGTGACTGCATTTCGGGCCCTCGGCAACTGGCCCACATTTATAGCCATGGCCATGTGACCATGTTTTATGTAATTTTGCTGAAAAACAGCATTTATTTCCGGTTTCGGGCAAAACTGGCTCTTAGTGAACAATGGATTTACTTAACAATTACTGCAAAAAAGGTCGTAAAATTTGATCAGTCATGTGAGGTGATCCATTTTATGGCCATCACGACTTATGACTTTAATGGGTAGGCTCCATTATGGTCATAAATTGAGGACTATATGTAAATCAAACCAAACCATAACAAGAAATAGTTTAAGAATATAGCTAACTAAATTAGCCTACAACTAAAACTTTATCAAGATACTATATTAGTGCCAACATGCAATCTGTAATGATCATGCACAAATTAATACTAAAACAAAAATGTAACAAGTAGTCATCAACCAGTACCTGATTTTAAAACTATCTTCCGTTTTGAAGTGCGTTGTAAAACTGCCCAGAGATTTGGAGACCCAAGTTCACTCTTAAGAATCTGAACAACTTTACAGATTCCTTTGCTACAATCCAGTACCATTTTTTCACTTAAAGTAATCATCTTAAGTTTTCCCACCAGAAAAAGCACACTCTTCAGTTTTATTTTAAGCCATACTGTCTCCAAAATGTACAAGCCAGTGAAAGTGTCCTTCTGAGCCTTCTTCACTGGTCATTAAGCATTTATCCCAGGTTTAACGATAAGGCAGAAATGTTAGTTCTATTTTTATCTTGTCACCGTAATAACCAATCAAATTAAAAAGAGATTGGGATTCCTCCAATCTACAAGCTCTCCCCTTTCACTAATGGAGACAGGCCTGAACAGCATTTAGCAACGACAACGTGTGAGCTGACAACATACCTTGTAGTTAAACATTGCCAACATAGTTACAAACTGCAAGATGAAACCAGCACACAGCTGCACATTTTGGAGAAGTTCTCAGTAAAAAGAGATCTTCAGAGTTATTACCTGGCAAAGGTGCATGGAAAATTAAAGCTAGAAGATTGGCGCTGCAAGTCCTCAAACCTTTCATTATTGCTTGAGGAAGCATGAAAGTGGATATAACAAAATTTATAACTTACAATGTAATTGGACACACTATGGAAAAAAAGAGATTCATTTAACAGAAAGTATACAGGAGACAAATATTATGATTTATCTCCAAAGCCAAATTATTCTTTTATGTTTAGAGTCTGGTGGAAAACATTTTGTGTTGGAGGAGAACTCTTGTGAAAGGAATTATTTTCTATCTGCTCAACAGATTGTTGCCATATAGATAAACATGATTCAGATATGTGAATTTTATAAGTTAATGTTCATACTGCACAAACACAAACCAGACTTATAGCTAGCCACTTTCAACTAAATAGACAACTGAAAAGATGCTTAGGTTTACCTAATCTGGGAGATGATGATGACCAAGGAGGAGGAGAAAGAAGGAATTGTCCTTTAGAAGAAAATTAAAGCTTTTCAAGAACATAGATAATGAGATTTGTATCCAATGATATCACAGGGATTCAATATTTTAACATTCTCTCTGATTGTACCCAATACGCTCAATTAAGAGGGATGAGAATTTTAATACAACCATTTCCATCCTGTTGCCAATAAAATCTGAACTCAGTCTTGATTTGAAGGATACTTTTATTTTTTGGATTGACTCCATTTTATAAAGGACATTCCATATTTGTACATATATGAGGTATGCTTTTGTTTGAAAATGTCCTTTTTCAGAGCCAATCATCAGGGTGTGTGAAGTGCCTGACTTAGCAAACATTTTAAATTAGAATCAATGTAATATAAAGCAAAACAGATTTGGGAATGAAAGAAAATTTGGTTATTGACAAAACAGAGTGGTGATATGCTAATAAAGTACATCTTCCAATAGTGAGTTCCTGATTTTGAATCACCTTTTGGTAACCGTACAGTATGATGGCCATGTATTATCTTTAATAATTAGAGATAATTAAAGATATGTAGGCTAT